AACATAATAATGATACTACTAATAATAATGACAACAATTATGATGATGCCAATGATAATGATAATGAGTAATAATCATAATAATGATAATGATAATAATCATAATACTATTACCAATAATGATAATGATAATGATAATAGTTATAATAATAATAATAATAATAATAATAATAATAATAATAATAATAATAATAATAATAATAATAATATATATAAACAACAACAAATAATAATAATATAATATATTTAATAATAATGATAATAATAATAGTAATCATAATAATAATAACTATCAATATAGAAATATTAATATTAATAATAATCATAATGATAACAACAATAGTAATTGTAATGTTGATAGTATCAACAACAACCGTACTACTATTACTACTACTAATAATAATAACAGTAATTGTAATGGGAATAGTAGTAGTAGTTGTGATAATGATGATGATGAAATTAATGATGGTAATAATAACATTAATGATAGTAATATTAACGATGGTAACACCAATAATGATAATGACAAGAATGAAAAATAAAATACCAATATCAGTGATAATAACGGTAACAATAATAATAATGATAATATAAAGAAAAAATAACGATATTAATAATAGCAAAAATGATAATAGTGATGATGATAATAATAATAATAACAACAATTGAAATTATAGTAATAACAATAATAGTACCAATGTTGATAATGACAATAATCATAACAACAGTAATGATAATGGTAATAACAATCATTATTGTTTGAAGCTTTGTCTCATGTCTACCTGTATGACGTAGACTATAGACTCCTTGCAACGTAGACTCCTTGGGAACAGAACGCGCTCGGTGTGGAACAAAACATTTGGCGTGATCTTATGATAGCGATCATCCTAACCTTACGGAACTTTGGCGATTTAGGTGACGCTTTTGATGGGCCAGAAATGCCACACAGTTGTCTTGTTGCTTGTCCTTACCGCTGGGTTGGAAAGGATCTTCCTCGCTCGGATGCTCGCAATCCGGAGAGAAGACTGGGAGACTCGGTTCTATGACCAAAGATGAACGGCTGTGTGGAGGGCACTGCGTATCGTTTGTTTCGTGTCAGTTTGTGCTCTTCCAGCTTGATAAAGTTCAATAAGTAATTTTTAGACCCTATCTTGAGTTGCAAAACCATTTCAGCTGAATTTCCATCCCTATTAGGATTCCCCGTTTTCTGTGCTTATTTTCCGGCTCCTCTCTTGTTCTCTATGCTTAAAATCTAGGGAAAATAAATCAGTTACGTTTTACTGTTATTACTGGAAGCTTCTCTCCATTACTGAGAGTAAGTTTCGATAAGTAATGTTAATTACCAACTTCATCGAGCTTTTTGACGTAAGTGGAAGGTTCCATTTACAGGCTGTGTTTTCGGCATTTCTTCTTATCTCGTAGTTTCGCGTCGTCTTTTGCCTCACCGCATGCGCACGCATCTTGTCTACGACAAAGTTCCTACGTCATGGTAGACGGGGTCTGTCATTTCTGTTGTTTCATAGTTCCGTCTAATTGATGTAGCCACTGATTATTAGTTAGGATTATTAAGTATGCTAAATCCAGAATCTAGACAATAATACAATACTATAAATGTATATTACTAGCTTATGAACCTACTAATCAGAGCCAGTTCCCCGCCTGACCAATCACGGCCAGTGCCCACTCGACTGACCAATCAGAGGGCAGGAACGAAGAGCAGGTCCAAGATGCAATTATCTTTTCTCGCAGTGTCCCCCTAGCGGTCAGCTTGGTCGGACGGAAGCGACCTTCTGCAACTCACGGCCGCTTGGGTTATACTTTGTGTTTGGTAAATAAGGTGTACAGTGTCGTGTATCTTCGGCGAAAGGGATTTGTCGTGTTGCTTTCTCTGCGTAATCCCCTCAGTTAACAAGGAAGCTGCTACCGAAAGCAAGTGACGGTAAAATTTGCCGAAAGTTATCGTCACAGCAAATGTGGTGAAAGATGCATTAGGAATGATACTTATAACAATGACAGTAATGATAGTGATTATTATGATGATGATGATACAATAATGGTGATAATAATTAAAATTGTAAAAAATAGTACCGATAATGATAATAATGAACTAATAGTAATGATGGTAACAATGATAATGATCATAATGATAATGACAGTCATAATAATATTAATGATAAACATAACGACAATAAGAATAATGATAATCATAATGACAATAATAATAATGATGATAATCATAATGACAATAAAAATAATAATGATAATCATAATGACAATAACAATAATGATAATCATAATGACAATAAAAATAATAATGATAATCATAATGACAATAATAATAATGATGATAATCATAATGACAATAAAAATAATAATGATAATCATAATGACAATAATAATGATAATGATAACCATAATGACAATGATCATAATGGCAATAATGATAACCATTAAGACTACTACTACTACTACTAATAATAATAATGATAATAAAGATGATCATGTATTTGAATCTAAAACACCATACCGAATTCTTAACCAAAAAGAAGAAAAATAACTACATTATCGTTTCCTTTACCTTCCCCTACGATACCCAGAGAGAACCGAAAGAGAAAGAGAAACTTGATAAACAGCAGAAATCTAAACAGAGACCTACAGAACCTGTGGAATATGCAAATGAAAGCAGTCCCCTTAGCCATCAGGTTATTAGGGAGGAGAGGAAAAAGGCGAGGAATGAAGACCAGAATTAATGTCATTATTGATGTTATTGCTGTTAGTCGTTTAAGTGTTTTTTAATTCTCTGTATTCTTATTCTTATGATGATTATTGTTATATCATCACTTTTATCAGTATCTTTATTATCATCATCATCATTATTATTATTATTATCATTATTATTATTATTATTATTATTATTATTATTATTATATATTATTATTACCATTATTATTAATTTTCTGTTATCTTTATTATGATTATCATTACTATGATTATCATTGTCATTGTTATTATTGTTTTTACAATTATTATCATCAATGTTATCAATATCATTATTATCATTGTTATTATAATCTTTGCAATAATAACAATGTTATCATTATCATTAATATTATTATTATTGCTACCATTGTCACCATTGCTCTCATTACTATTGTTGTTATGAATAACTATCATTATCACAACCATTGATATTGTAACGATACTAGCAAGGAAAAGGTTGTTATCATTGCCAATTTGCGCCAAGGACTGTTAACAACAAAAGCTTAACGAAGATGAGTAGACATTAAGTACATAACATTGGTGCTGGTATGAAGCCAACGAAAGCTTATTGAGATGGTTGTACATTAAGTACAACACGAAAAAGAATGGGTTCTCTGCGTGACGTCATCATCGTGGTGGTTCTGGTATGATCTCAAAGTTAAAGATATATATGGTTATTTGTAATCTGGATAATGATAATGGTAATGGTAGACACGAAAATAATGATGATAGTGTTAATACTGTTGCAACCGATGATAATAATGATAATGATGAAAATGATAATAATGATCATAATAATAATTATTATTTAAATGATAATCATCATCGCCGTCATAATGATAAAGATGATGATAGTAATAACATTGATAATGATAACGATGGTGATGGTGATAATGATAATAATTATAATGGTCGTAATAATGATGATGGCAATAATGACACAAATGATATTATAATTATAATGGTGCAATAATGAGAATCATATTTATAATGAGAATAACATTCATAGTTTAATTTGATGATTATGATAGCAAAACGGCAATTTTAATGACACAAATGTGTATTTAATGACGGTAATGATTATTTAGTATGATTGACATATATTTAACGATGATGATAATGAACGAATTTAATGATTGTGATAATGATAATATGATGGAATATTGAATAATGATTATAATGATAACATATATATGATGAATATATGATATATAATAATAATAGGATAACATTGATATATGGATAACAATAATATGATACAATATATAATAATGGCAATTATTGAGAAATTATTAATAATGATGTTGATAGTTATTTGTGATGATAAATTGATAAACAATAATGGTAATGGTAATAGCAATAATGATAATGATAAAAATAGTAAACGTGATGATAACAATAGGAATAATGATGATAAGGATAAGAATAATGACGATACACATAATAAACGTCATAATGCTAATAATAATAGTGTTTTTATAATAGTAATGATAATATTATTGTTAATTTTGTTATGATCATTATTATCACTACTATCCTTATCACCTTAAAGGCACAAATTGCCGACTACATTCGAAAGGCCAGGCTAATTGCCTGTTAAGCCATTTGTAGAATTAGGGTAGTTTGTGTCGTTGAAAGATTCCTTCCTCATCATCACTACTACTGCTGTTGCTACGACTATGGTTTTGATAGTGATAAGAGTGATGATGGTACCGAAGTTCACCAGTGATTACCCCTATTCCGCTACAGAGAGCCATGGCGTCGGAAGTCCCCTTCGCCCTGACGCCCTTCCCGCAGGAGGCGCAGGCGAAGATCAAGGCGAAATTCCTCGGTTTCAGTAACGGCTTGGTGGACGTGGGCGGGCGCCACGCCATGCCCGCGCACTACGGCCTCTTCGCCAACAAATACTTCAACTACAAGTAAGTCCTTTCGGACCCACGGTTAAAACATGGCTTATTTGTGTGTATTAGTATGTGTGAGTGTGTGTATATAGATATTATATATATGTATGTACATACATACATACATATATACATATATATAATATATATATATAATATATATATATATATATATATATATATATATATATATATATATATATATATATATATATATATATATATATATATATATATATATGACGCGCACGTGAACAGTTAGGAAGGAGAAAACGAAACAGACGAAGAACAGTGTTTGTCTTGCAAGACGTTCATCCACAATATTTGGAGGTGAAGGGCACCAGTGCAAGGTGAAGTAGGTTCACAGGATAGCAGATAAAGAAAGAGAAAAAACGAGGCTATGTACTCTGCGCCAGAACGAGTGTGTGTTGCCAGAGGTGCGAATACAGAGACGAAACAAAATGTGATACTTTTATCGTAAAAGAAACAGTTAAGGGGATAAGCTGTACATTTATGTACACTAAATGTGATACATCATATTGCACCTTGCTTCACTTAGTGTAACATATCACAAAAAGGCATTAATCAACAGTGTGTAAAATATCATTATCACGTCATTATCGCAGTGTACATACGGTAAGAATTTCACTATCACGTACGTAGCACACTATTGCATCACCACGTACGCAATACTCTATCACATCACCGTCACGTACGTAATAAATACACCATCACATCACCACCACGTACGTTCTCCAACACTGTCATCACCACATCCAACCCACGACCAGATTCCAGGCGGATGACGTTCTGGTGATGACGTTCCCGAGGAGCGGCACGACTTGGACGCAGGAAATCGTGTGGACGATGAGGAACCAGCTGGACTTGGACACCGCGGCGGAAGTCCCCCTCGACACCAGAGTCCCCTTTTTGGAGTGAGTGTGGGTGGGTCTCGTTTCGGTCTCTTTATCTCTCTTTCTCCTTATTTATTTCTCTTTGTCCCTCTCTCTCTCTCTCTCTCTCTCTCTCTCTCTCTCTCTCTCTCTCTCTCTCTCTCTCTCTCTCTCTCTCTCTCTCTCTCTCTCTCTCTCTCTCTCTCTCTCTCTTCTCTCTCTCTCTCTCTCTCTCTCTCTCTCTCTCTCTCTCTCTCTCTCTCTCTCTCTCTCTCTCTCACTCTCTCTTTCACTGTGTGTGTGTGTGTACGTGTGTTTTAGAATGCGCGTCGAAAATGTCAAGGGTACTTTTTAAAACGTATATATGAATCATGCATACTTACTTTTTGAAAGATTTTCCACGCAGCATTAATGACTACGGCTTTTCAAACATGCTCATAATGAAGTTACCTCCTTTGGAATGTACATGGCAATGTCTATGTAATGCTCCCTCAGTTTTGTATTATTATCTTATCATGTGTATATTATGTATGTATAGTATTATATTATATGATCTTATGTTCATCCCATCACATGTATTTCATAATTATGCTCTTGTGTATATCTCATCATGTATATATAATCTTATGTTTATCTCATCATATGTATAGTATTTGATCTTATGTATCATCAAAAGTATAATACAAATACCATCTTCTATATATCTCATCACTTGTATATCATCATAACAGCACACACACACTACCTTATCGTAACCCATACATCGCCTTTTGTTACAGATTAGATTCAATCATTCCAGTTCACATCAGGCCGCCGTCAGGAGATGCAGAGGGCTTCTGGAGACTGCAGCCGGCGACGAATCCGCTGGCCAAGGACGTCTATCTCGACCAGGTGGACGCCCTCGCTTCACCTCGCACGATCAAGACTCACCTGCCCTTCTCTCTCCTCTCACCTGACCTCGTCAACTCCTGCAAGGTATGGATGCTGCTCGCCTCTAATTGTGGCTGGTGTTCTGTTACTGTTCGCAAGTCCGGATGTTCATGGGACTAATCAGGGATGGAAGGAAGAAAGAAGGAAGAAAAAAAGAGAAAGGAAAACTAGAAAAGTGAAATAAATAGAAATAAGTACAATCCATACACCACAGTATGATCAAAAGTCTGTTTTCCTTCTTTATCTCTTTGGTGAGAAAGGAAAAGGCAGAGGCAGAATAAGAAAGAGTAAAAAGAAAATTAAATGTCATACATCTTAATCAAATTATATAATCATTCCTAATTACTCGAAAAATGTCTTCCTTATCTTTTCATCTGTTACAGGTAGTGTACGTAGCCAGGAATCCCAAAGATGTGTCCGTCTCTTTCTACCATCAGCAGCGCCTCGTGAAGGCAGCTGAGTATGTGGGAAGCTTTCACGAATACATTGTGGATTTCTGGTGCCAAGACCACCGTAAGTAAGCATGTTCCAAGTAAGACGACTGTAGTTGAAGTCAGGTCGTACCTCAGAAACTGCAATCTATTGCTGTTCGATATGTTCCCGATGTTCGTATCTAGTCTTTAGAATCCTAGGCTTCACATTGGGAAACAGACCAAAGAATTGAAGTTAATTGCTGCGACATGCTGTGAGGTTGAACAGATACTCGAAGAGATGAACTAATTCCTACAGTCCTGCGGGCACCGTACTGGTCGCACCTGGCGGAGGGATGGGCGAGGCGACACCACCCCAACGTCCTGTTCCTCTTCTATGAGGACATGAAGGAGGACTTCCTGCGGGAGCTCGGCCGCCTCAACTCCTTCCTGGGGACAGGGCTGACGGAGAGCCAGTTGCAGACGGTCGCTCGCCACGCCTCCTTCTCCGGCATGAAGAGCAGGGGCGCCACCAACCCCACCGCCGCCCTGCAGGAGGCCGGGAGCTTCAAGAAGGGAGAAGCGGAGTTCATCAGGAAAGGTGAGAGGCGAAGGTGTTCGTTGCTCGTGTCAGCCTCATCGAGACAGTGTTTTGCGCAATCTGATGAATCAGTAATGCATTGAAAATGAAGATAATATCACAGTAGAAATGTCATAAAGGCGTGACCTTTAGAAAATGTCGAGAATTCTTAATCGGAAATAGGATTTCTTTCGGTTGCTACTATGGCTGTTACAGCACTCGCGACGGATTCGAAGCGTCACGCCCATATTCTGTTCCTATTGAGCCTTACACATTATTTAGTTTGTCAATCTTTTCAGTAATACATCATATATCTTAACAGTGCAATGGGTGTGATGTGTAGTGCTGTGATGAACGTGCTGGTCTTACAATCTTGCTGACCTGCATTCGAGTGAATGGTAACCCCGGCCATTCCTTGCACACAGGGGGAGATTTAGAAGGCAAACTAAAACAGACAGTATGTCACAGCAAAGAATATCCCTTGTAACAAATGGAATTGAAACTAAATTTATAATCCTTATAAATCTACTATACATTTGGAGGTGGCATAGCTCAGTAGTAGAACGCTAGCTTTGCAATAGCATGATCCTGTGTTCACGCCCGGCTGCCCCTCTCAGCCGACTCAGCTGTGAATGAGCACTGGTATGCAGACGTCAGCGTGCAGGGCTCAAATTCGGGGCAGAAGGGAACTGGCCACCCAACCGCATCGTTTCGCGGCTTAATGAGCATGTTTCTTTGAGAACATGTCTCCTACGACCACATGGATTTGAGACCAACTTTGACTTGACTTTATACATTTAGACTTCTCGACACACCAACCCAAAGCAATATTTCTCCTTCCTCAGGAACTACAGGTGATTGGACCAACTTCTTCACGCCGGACCTCGAGGAGAAGTTCCAAGAGTGGATGGAGAAGTGGCAGCCCGCGTCGAGGGAGATCCCCTTCAAGTACCACATCGCGAAGGAAATGTGACTGACGTAAAAATAGAAGATTGTAAACACTTGCGACCGGTTTGTTGAAATTGTGCGAGGCCGACCCGGTGAATATTCCTTTTGCGGACTTGCATATATACAGAAATAAACATATCGACCAGTCTAGACAGACAGGCATACCTACCGGACAGATAGATAGATGAATGTATATCTATCAGATAGATATGCATTTATTTCTGTATGTATGTCCGTATATATGAAGGGTCGGCCCTCACACAATTTAACAAACTGGTCGAGAGGTGTGCGTACTAGCAACGCAGTGATAAAAATTGGTTGATCCTATTCATGTTGACACATGTAGAAAAGGTATGAATAAGAATGAATGTCTTCACAATACAAGAGATGTATTTGGTCGGTTTAGATTACATCTACGGCAGAAATAAAGGATTTTTTTTTGACGTAAAGATATAATTGAAACCTGTCAAATACATTTCTTGTACTGTGAAGATATTCATTCTCATTCATACCTTTTCTCTATTGGTTGGACGGCGCTCCTCGTAGGGCTCGCCACGCCCCCTTCGGCTAAACATCGAATAATCGCTCACTGAAGTATCATAAATGGCCAACAGCGCTGCCATACGAAAGGGAAATGTTAAATCGTGATGACAGCTTGTGATCTTATAGATTTGATCTATACATGATAAAAGAAATAAATCTTTAACTATGAAACAAAGTGACAATTGAAGCGCATAAATGTCGAAGCCTGCTCTCAGTACTTTATATAAAAGGGAGAACAATTCTTTGTCACTTTAAATTTAAATGGAATTGAACAAAAACACCAGCTGTTGCAAGAATAAATATGATTATTACTTTCTATTCGTTTTTGTCATCCTTCTGGAACTGCTAAGCCGCAAAAGTCGAGAAGGATTTCCCGCCAAAACCGCCCGAAAAGGAACATATCTCCAGATATGACCTTAGAACAGAGGTCATTTTCTACATACATACATACATATATATATATATATATATATATATATATATATATATATATATATATATATATATATTAATATATATAATATATATATATATATAATATATATATATATATATATATATATATAATGTATGTATGTATGTAAGTATAACGATTACCCCCCCCCAAAAAAAAAAAAAAAAAAAATAGCAGGGCGTTGGTAGTTCAGGCAGGAGCAAGGTTTGGCGTCGCAGTCGACGGCTCGACGCATCCTCCAGCGTCGTGCCCAAAGGGTTAATATACTGTGGTCAAAGGCTTTGTTGTTCATGAACTGATGCATGGTACGTGGATTGACATGTATTAGATTTTGCTTTCGGTCGCTGAAACATTTATTGCTCTTCTCTGCTGTCAAAGAGGAATTGAAAGCATTAACAAAGTAAAATAATGAGAAAAGGGATAAAGATGGATTCATCTCGTGTCTGAGTTTGAAACCACCAGTAATGCCTCTGGGGAATGGAAGGGATGAGAGTGAGGGGAAGACGAATGATGTTTTATTGCTGTATTCATATAAAAATATTAGTCCCTTGTTTACAAATCCTTACACTAGCTTTCATGTTCCCAAGTACTATTACTCGCTACCTTCCCCCGTCTTCCGGAGAGTACGGCGGGGACGCTGTTGAAGTTTGCGTTTTGCTAAGGCAGGGATGTACCAGCTTCAAGTGAGTCTTTTGTATTGTTTTTCTATATAATTTTCTTAAATTTTCCCTGTATTGCATTAGTAAAGACTTCAAATACAAATGTTTCAAAGGACAGAAAACTAAACAAGGACAATTAGAATAGAACATTATTTTACGATTATGGATATCTATTCATCACACATCAAACCACAAACACACACAAGCAGCATCCTTTTTGTTAAGACTCGTAACTTAAGCAAAGGCTATTCCTTCGCCTCCCACTATTCTTCTTTATCACATTCCTTTTCTCTCATTTCCCCCCTTTTCTCTCTCCTTCTGGTCCCCTGCCTTTCTTACTCCCTTCTCCTTCCCCTCTGCCCTTCTTCCTAACCTCCTTCCTAAGTGTATTGCCCTCATATCTACTTTTCCCCTTTTCTGTTCTTTCTTTTTGTGACTCTAACAAGGTATTGTTATTTCGTGAAAGGTCTGCCTTGGATAATCGTTTCCATATGATATTAGGTCCTCCATAAACATTAATATATATTTCATGTCCATATACTCTTAGCCAGTCTCACGATTTCTTTGGACGTATTTGGTCAGAAATGACTGTATCCGAGGGTCGTCTTAAATGGCAAAAATCGACATGTCATGCTGTCATAGCAGGTCCTACACATGGAAGAGTTATGGAACCTCTCATTTAGATTGTATTTCAAAGGGAATAGGCCTATTGCATCTAGTAGGACATGGGCATATCGCTCCTGTGTGTGAATTACGATTGCGGTAACGAGACGAATCAGAACATCCCGACCTTGGGTAATGAGAGGCAGTTCAATTTTGCACCAAATTAATCTACTGAATGAGCTCCTCTAACACAGGGAAGAACTATTATGAATCACCTCGATCTCCTGAGCAGCATGCAGTTCAGAGCCATCCAGGTTATCAGCGGGAAAAGTCCCGGGAAAGGAAGCAACCTTCAGGATCTCCAACAAAGGAAAGATGTCGCAGGTCCCGAAGTCGTGTTTAGAAATCAAGAACCACCCCGGCAGCAACAAGGCCATCGGATGCCACACACCACCTGAACGACAGAGAGAGTGGCAGGCGCTTCGAAGCAGCCCCGGCGCAGGACAAGGTGATGCCGGACACAGATGATTCTCAGTTACAGTGCTTTTCCAGAGGGTAGCAATCAGGACTATTTGCCATCGCCTGCAGAAGGACCTGGGTCTACCAAGTCGTCATGCTGCTAAGAAGTCAGTGATCAAAGAAGTAATGAAGAAGAGGATTAACTTTTGAAATAAATGTCAAGATTGGACACCTAAAAAGTAGAATAAAATGATGATTTGGGATGAGATCACTATTAGTGCGGTCAGAGGAGGTTCAAAGACCGTGCATCGCCCGAGTACCGTGTCAGGGTATGACCCGAAATTTACATTTAGTACCTGGAATACCCTGAGAGTGTGATTTTTTGAAAGCAAGGGCAGGGGAGGATTGCACTTCATTCCCAAGAGTATAACTGTGAAGGAAAGCTATTACACCAATGTTTCAGACAATCATTTGCTTATATTTTGGGACATTTGTGTGTGATTTTTTCATGCATGATGAAGCCCCTGCCGTTTACCGTCGTAAACTTTTTCAGTGACCATAACATTATCTTACAGTGGCCTGACGTTAACCCCAGAGAGAATCCCTAAATTGACATGAAAATACTAGGTTCAAGATCCAAGATCCAGCTAAATCAACCACTTAAATGAAGTGCTGAAGTTGTGGTGGCTCATGAACCCCACTTCAGCAACCTTGTTGAATCTATGCCCAGATGACTGCAGATAGTTATCAAGTATATGGGCAACATGGCACAGTATTGGCTCGAGGAAAATATCCACAACAAATCTCATGAATGGTTAAATATTATCTGTCATCATCCATGTAAAGATTTTTTTGTCGGCACTGTGCAACAGGGTGTGAAAAAACTGTATACAGCTGTATTCGTAGACGCATGGTACAATTATTCAAATTCATTAAATACTTATTAATAAAATTCTATTAATCACTATGCATAAATATTGACTTTGGCTTCAGTTGTCTCATAATGTTGTATACAGAGGATCGAGAATACGAATGAATATAATGTACTAAACAGAAAATTGCCTAGATTTGCTTCTGACAACTATTGTCTGGTCAGTTTCTTAGGAAATCGTAATATCGGTGTAACAAGGATTTATTCATCTGTGTTATAAAAATTCTTAATTAATAGCTTATCCACTGTTTATGAACACCCTGGATATTGTATAGAAGTTAGATTTGACTTGAATATTTAAAATATCTTTATTACATCTGAGACACGAGAACTCGTTGAGGTTTTTATGCATGTGCTTATCACTATTTTTCTTTCTTTCCGTTTCTATTATCTGGAACCATAATTCGGCACAGCACAATAAAAAAATAAATGGATAAATGGGTATCTCTTCCTTAATGTGTTAGTCCATTGATAGGTCGATACAAAAGTTTTGTATCCAGTATACTGCAATATACTGTTTTATGTCACAGCCTAATTAATTAATTAGTTGTGGCTAATTATCTTTCTGGCGACTGATTAGGATTTTGCCCGCAGTCCTCAGTCATCATCGGGTGGTAGTGCTAGTTCCTTTGTTTACTTGGGTACATGTATGTGTATGTGTGTGTGTGTGTGTGTGTGTGTGTGTGTGTGTGTGTGTGTGTGTGTGTTAGTGTGAGTACATCTGCGTTTCAAAATTCATATTTTTTTTTCTTGGTGCAATCTTTACCCTTCCTTCCATCTTTATTGCAAAAGGTCAAGTCAAGAACATGTTGCAGGGCATTTTTATTTGCAGCAAACAAAGGCACAGAAGTCATTCCAAACAAGGACGTTGATCTCCGTCACAGTTTCTTTGGCCTAGTTACTCCTATCCAGACCTCGTCTCTTGCTATTACCCTTGGCTCCCTTACGATTCCCCTTGCTTTTGTGCGTCTCAGCAGGCTTCAAAACGTTTTCAAAGTGGTGCTATAACTGCATAGGAAGACAATAAACTGCTAAGATATTCATAACCTATGGATTATCATTACTTGCGCAATAGCAGCACGATTTGGACAAATAATTCTTTTTAGACTGGGTTCCCGAAGTCCCCTAGGAAATGTGCCTAAACTCAGTCTAATTTCAAGAAAACGAAGACTGATCTCTCATCCAAGGCTTTCGTATTCCCTGATTCGCCAAATTATTTGAAGGCATCGTATTTTGATTAATTTTTAAAAAACATTTATATAAATTTGAAAAATCTAAACCTATGAAATCATTAGCGTTCAAGGTCTGGTGATTAAACTTAGAAATAAGCGACGCAGCGAATCAGAGGGCTCGAGAGTTTGGGTTGAGCTGCCAGGTTCTCCTTTTCTGGGATTGGCCGTAGTATAGGCCTGGTCAAAATGGCAAGAATCCCGGACCGGAGACAGGGTACATGAAATCGGCTTTAGCTGATAGTAATTCCAGTGTTCAGAGTCATCGACGTGCTTGAATTAGCTTCTCGTTGGCATAAGTCGTCATCTGTTGAAGATCAATCTGGATTCCGGCCGCTCCTCTCAGCAGAAGTTCCCAGAATTAGCATTATTCTTAATAAAGGTTATGTAATCTGGGGAAAGGAAATAATCACAATAAAATAAATGCAAATAGTTCTAAAAAAATTGATGTATGGCGAAAAGAATGTGGACAGGAAGAACTTAAAGAAGGATCACTTACTGGGTACGTTGGTGTAGACGCCATAGTAGCCTGCATCAGCACATCCATATCCCCAGCTGACTACGCCGGCGAGATGGTGCTGGCCACCAACGTCGACTGTCAGGGGACCGCCACTGTCGCCCTGCAAGTCAAACGGGTATTAGGAAGTTCACATTGACACCCTAACACTGAGGTTGCTATACCCTACCTTGAACTCGGTTTAGTATTTCAGTCTTCTGCCTACCTGGCAGGAGTCGGAGCCTCCCGTGGGAAAACCAGCGCAGATCATGGTACTGGTTGTGAATTCGCTGCCGTAAGAATCGATGCATTCAGATTGCGTTCTGATGGGCACTGTGACCTCGTGGTTCTTATTGGGTTGGTCACCACCTATTGGAAAAGACTGGTTGGCTCAAACAAGGCAACACAAAAGAGTGATATATAATGCAAGTGTGTATGGCACATGCGGACACAAGATGACTGCCTCACCAGACGACAAAGTTCCCCAACCAGTGACAATTGCGTTCTGGTTAGTGAAACTGTCCGTGGAGGATGGGAGGCATACGGGCATGATTCCAGGTAAGCTGAGGTCCACGGGGGAGGAGACGCGGATGAGGGCGATGTCGTTGTCAAGCTGCAGGGACAGATAGAGTTTGCTTCAACAAATAAGGATATGCTGAATATTGACGCAGCAATGGTCTACAACAGGTGACTCACCGTGGCAGTGTTGTACTGGGGATGCTCGATAATTTGAACAACACTCTTTTGGATGATCTGCGTCGCACTGGAAGATTTCCAGTCCCACATGTTGTAGAGAACCTCTATCTCAGAAGGGCTACTACTGCTCGGTTCAAAAGAAAATTCAGTCATTATACTTAGTATACTTAGAGAAAGAAAAAGAAACCAAAATAGCTGATACTGAAAAGCAAAAAACAAAAACAGATCCACGTAGCCTCCTCTGCACTCACCCGTGGGTGCAATGGGCAGCTGTAATCACCCACAGATCGTTGTAGACAGATCCGCCACAGAAGGGATGATTTTGTCCATCATTGGCTGTAGACAGAGCGACCAGCCAAGGGTACTCGTTCATTTCCGTGACCACACCACCCACAATCCTCGTGCTTCTGTTGGGCACGCCACACGCTGGAGGGCGGACAAGGGTTTATCTGGTGAGTATTTGGATCAGCAGGACACCGGCCATGGTTTGCCAAAATGCCTTGATGGAA